GGACGTGGCAACGCGGCACTTTCCGGGTCCAAGTTACACCGGCCTGCCGTCAAACCTTCACCCAGTGGTCAGACCTTGCATTTCTCCGAGCAGGAGTGCCCCTAGAGCAGGTCTCCAGGCATGCTGAGGTTTGCACGGATGCCTCTACCACCGGCTGGGGGGCCACGTACAACGGGCTTGCAGTGTCAGGGGTTTGGACAAAAAAAAAACGCTGTAGTCCAAACGAGCCGTTCGTTTTAGTTCTTGAAAAGGGATTTTTTAAAAACGAAATATCTCCCTTTGGAGTGGACTTTGAGATTTGTAAGTTTGAAGATCTTTTTTATGCCCAAACATACACACTACACACTGACTAAAATTCTAAAAGTGAAAAAGCATAATAGGACCCCTTTAAATCATAGTCATCAATGCTAAAATGCAAAAAAAAGATGGTGTTATGATCATAAAATCTGGACAGTTGAAGCACCAAGGAGAACTTCAGCATCTGCCCTGGCCAAACAAATCACCTGACTTAAATATTATTAAACCACTGTGGGCAACTTTGGAGAGAAGAGTGAAAAGCTGATTCCCTCCTCCAACATCTCTGAAGCAACTGGCAGATGTTCTGATAGACAACATTGAACAACAGACTATTTAAAAGTTGTATGAATCAATTCTACAAAGGGTGGAAGCTGCATTAAAGGCAAACGGTGGTAAAACACCCTAATAATGAAGTATTGCCTATTTCCTGGGTTTTTGTATTATTTTGTTCAACCCCTGTACCTGATAAATAAGAAAAGGCTGTTTTGGACTGGACTAAATTAAATGTACACCTGGCAGCTGATCTTACCTGTATTTTGATTGGCCATGAAAAGTTGCTGACATAAACATGGAAAGTGATGTTGGGATTTGCAAGGAAGGAGAATGTCTCACAGGAGAAGCTGTCTCTGTACTCTTTGATGCTAGTCTTGGACACTATGGGGAATTCCTCCCCGGAGATCGTACCCGCTGCAGGGACACAAAACACAGCATCAGCAAAGTGCACGTCAGCCAACAACAACGCCTGCATACAAAACCCTCTGCAAGATTAAATATGGCATAACATTCTGATCAACCCTTCAACTATAAAACATCTGAATAATGCATCTGAATAAAGCCATTGTAAGGAGCTGTACTTGAATACCAACAGGATCAATAGAGAAAGTATCATGAAAAAAAGGCCTAAAAACGTCAAGCTTCTTGCTGCTTCTCAAACAATTTGAACAGATTAAATGGTTAATAGTGAATACATGATCTATCACAATACAGTAAATCAAAAGCACAAATGAACATGAACATAAGTCAGTCTATACTGATGATTCCCAGATGACCCATTCAGAGGCTGTTCCATTAAGTACGACAGAAAGAAAAACTGATTTATTTTACTTATTAGCGATTCATCACAATTCAAAATGTGACTCTTCCATTAACCACTTTTGAGCTCAGTCTTAAATACTGCTATAAATATGCTCTCGCACTTGTCATATGACAATGACTGTTACACTCAAACACTATTCTAGTGACCATTGGGAGTGTGCTTTATCTCTGTCTATAGGGCAATCTATAACACTTCTCTACATATCTGCTTGTCATAGAGGTTTATTCAAACAGCAACAAAATGAAAAACTATTTCGCTTAGGCATTTGCCTGTGCAAGAGCACTTTGTTTATCTTAATTGAAATCAAAAAGCACTTTATGAATGCCCTGACAAACGGATTCATCGTATACTTTGTTCACTCAGATCTATTTTACAACGTAAATCTTTCTTTTGGGATTTCATTTTATTCTAATATACATGAAATCCAATAGCATGAATACTTTACCTGTTGAGCCAATAGACCATGTTATGTTGAGGTTGAAATTGTTGGATGCATTAATTGACATATCAAGGTTCTTGTTGGTCTGGAAAACAAACAACATGACAACAAAAAAAAGTATTTAAATAGCTGCGATAAAGTATTTTTTACCGTATTAAATGTGGACTTCTTTTTAACCATCATGTTGTGCTCCAGTCATATTTTCACAAAAAATATTTGTTAATATTATCAAATTCGACTTAAAATTAACTTAAAAATTATAATTTTTGTTTTTATAATGATAATTATTTTCCCAAATTGTTACACCTGTGATGCTCCCAGTCAAAAATGTCCAGTCTGCAAAAAATGCTTAAAAATGTCTGATGCTACTTTATTCCCAAATATTGGATTAACATTTTTTTGTCAACTAGTTGCTTTAAAAAAGCACATTTTAAAAGGCCAGTCACACCAAATTAGGTAAAGGATTTAAAGCACAGCACATGGGTTACATTTAGAACAATGGGTTATAATATCACATTCTAATTCCTTTAAAATATAATTTAATTTTCATAAACCAGGGCTCGCAAAATCGCTAGCCCGACGTCCCGGGGCTATTGTGTTTTCCAGTCGGGCTACCGAAATGTATCACCACTCTGCCCGACGGGCTATCTTAAATGCAGATCTCCCGCGGGGACTTAAAAACTCCTAAAGTGAGTTGTACCAAGCTTAAGGCCATAAAAAGTTTTAAATACGTTAAATGGTATAAGAAATGTCTTAATTATAATTTCAAGAGGTCTTACAGTTGGGGACGGAAAGATAAGAGTTGCAATACGGCTGGATTAAACTTCAAAAGGCAATGATGTCATTGAATAAATATGAGCGCTGCACGTTTCAAGTCAAAACGGGGATGTCTTTATTTGAATGTATCTGAAGGCAACAGACTGTCCTCAGAAACGTGTCGTTGGCATTTTAATTTAATTTGATCTATAATTCCTGATAAAGCAGCGTTTATGAGCGCGGAGCTGCTTTGTGTACAGCCGTTACCGGGGAAACCGCAATATTTCAGCGCTCCTAAAGCGCCACCTCGTGGCAGAGAAAAACCTGTATCTGAACTGTAAATCATGTAATTTTATTATGTTACCATAGACATTGTCCAAGCCCACTCATACTGTGTTCATTTTACTTGTGCAGCTCTTAAAATGGGTCATAAATTGCCTTAAATGTATTTTTTTAAATTCTGCAGATACACAGTAAATAGTGAAATAAAATTCCTTCCTTCATATTTGTGGATATTTGTGTATTGAAAATATTTTTGATTGACATTTAAACTCCTAGCTGATTTACTATATTTAAAAAAAGGTATTTTTTTTTATTTGGGCTAGTTAAATTAATTTTCGGGCTACCAAAATCTGAAGAGTACCTGCCCGAAGGGCTACCAGGGATTTTGAAATTTTGCGAGCCCTGTAATCATTTATTAAATAAAATCTGATTGTTTCAAAATCCTGTTCCACATAAAAGTGTTGTAACCATCAACTCTCTGCCTGTGACTGTGTTATGCCACATAATAATTTTGTGCTAAATATGCACAAAAAAACAGCTTGTCGCAGGAAAATCTCAAATTACACCTGTACAGTAGGGATGTCAAAATGCCTGAAAAACTAAAATCGAACTTTGTACTTAAATATTATCAATATTCGAATTATATACTAGGCCACAAGAGGGTGAATCGAGCTAAATATTACTAATGCACATTTATTCAAAGCAATAAAATAACACGACTATCTTTGAAAAAAGTGCATAATGTTTATAAAATATATAATTAAGTTGCTTAAACAATAGGAACCAAAACAGCATCATGTATGTATGTATTGTTTAAAACAAAGGACCGAAATGGTGCAGTGGGATGGGGAAAAACTACTGGTGTGGGACATGTTTTTTATAAGTTGAACTTACATTAATTTTACATGGCTTTCTAAACATGCGGCTCTCTTGTGCGAGATGCGAGTGCAACAGTGATAGGTGCCCCTATAGAAAATGCGATAAATATGCGTTCTGTGTGAATGGCTTGGTTTCAGTTTTGACGTAAACATCTTCTCCGCATTGATGTTCTCTTTTTCCGCAATATTTTGAATGAACAACGTAGCAGCGCCGCATCCAGTAGGTTCAACTGCATAGGCTAAAAAAAGCATTAAAATGCAATGACTGCATCATCATCGCAACTTGTGTGCAACTGATAAGGCTGCCTGATGCACACCAAAAATTAGAATGCAACGTTTTTGCATATGAATGTGGGTTTTTATTTTAAATTTGATGAATATTCGAAATTCTATTTTTTTTTTTGACAGCCCTACTGTATAGGACACAAATTTGGGTGCTGCAAAAATGTTTTTTGGTGATGTCATTGAATAAATATGAGCGCTGCACGTTTCAAGTCAAAACGGGGATGTCTTTATTTGAATGTATCTGAAGGCAACAGACTGTCCTCAGAAACGTGTCGTTGGCATTTTAATTTAATTTGATCTATAATTCCTGATAAAGCAGCGTTTATGAGCGCGGAGCTGCTTTGTGTACAGCCGTTACCGGGGAAACCGCAATATTTCAGCGCTCCTAAAGCGCCACCTCGTGGCAGAGAAAAACCTGTATCTGAACTGTAAATCATGTAATTTTATTATGTTACCATAGACATTGTCCAAGCCCACTCATACTGTGTTCATTTTACTTGTGCAGCTCTTAAAATGGGTCATAAATTGCCGTAAATGTATTTTTAAAAATTCTGCAGATACGTTGTAAATAGTGAAATAAAATTCCTTCCTTCATATTTGTGGATATTTGTGTATTGAAAATATTTTTGATTGACATTTAAACTCCTAGCTGATTTACTATATTTAAAAAAAGGTATTTTTTTTTATTTGGGCTAGTTAAATTAATTTTCGGGCTACCAAAATCTGAAGAGTACCTGCCCGAAGGGCTACCAGGGATTTTGAAATTTTGCGAGCCCTGTAATCATTTATTAAATAAAATCTGATTGTTTCAAAATCCTGTTCCACATAAAAGTGTTGTAACCATCAACTCTCTGCCTGTGACTGTGTTATGCCACATAATAATTTTGTGCTAAATATGCACAAAAAAACAGCTTGTCGCAGGAAAATCTCAAATTACACCTGTACAGTAGGGATGTCAAAATGCCTGAAAAACTAAAATCGAACTTTGTACTTAAATATTATCAATATTCGAATTATATACTAGGCCACAAGAGGGTGAATCGAGCTAAATATTACTAATGCACATTTATTCAAAGCAATAAAATAACACGACTATCTTTGAAAAAAGTGCATAATGTTTATAAAATATATAATTAAGTTGCTTAAACAATAGGAACCAAAACAGCATCATGTATGTATGTATTGTTTAAAACAAAGGACCGAAATGGTGCAGTGGGATGGGGAAAAACTACTGGTGTGGGACATGTTTTTTATAAGTTGAACTTACATTAATTTTACATGGCTTTCTAAACATGCGGCTCTCTTGTGCGAGATGCGAGTGCAACAGTGATAGGTGCCCCTATAGAAAATGCGATAAATATGCGTTCTGTGTGAATGGCTTGGTTTCAGTTTTGACGTAAACATCTTCTCCGCATTGATGTTCTCTTTTTCCGCAATATTTTGAATGAACAACGTAGCAGCGCCGCATCCAGTAGGTTCAACTGCATAGGCTAAAAAAAGCATTAAAATGCAATGACTGCATCATCATCGCAACTTGTGTGCAACTGATAAGGCTGCCTGATGCACACCAAAAATTAGAATGCAACGTTTTTGCATATGAATGTGGGCTTTTATTTTAAATTTGATGAATATTCGAAATTCTATTTTTTTTTTTGACAGCCCTACTGTATAGGACACAAATTTGGGTGCTGCAAAAATGTTTTTTGGGAATACACCTAGTTCAAAATCAGATACAAACCATTCTAAACCATTTTGTTTGTGAACACGTTGCAAATTCACTGACCTCTTCTGGAGTCGCCATGAAGTTAATGGCCGTGTAGTGCTGATCGTCCTCTTGAAGCAGACTAAAAGTGAACTGGTAGTCTATCAGAAGATTATCTAGTGAGGTAGAGAAGAAATACAAATTGTATTTGCCATTTATATGTCAAATTGTTTCAGCATAAAAATCATGAGATTTGTTAACATTATGAAGTGATTGCTTGGCAAAAATTCTTCATGTTCACGTCATGTTGAAATCACAACATCATGGCAATCACAGCTATTCTTCAAAGTAAAACACAAACTCTCGTTGGGAGAGAGAAGCAGTTGTGATATGAAGGACTTTTTGACAGCTCACATCTGCACGAGCAACTAAAGGTCACCTTGTCCGATTCAATTGTGAAGACGGCATATGATTAAATAGCAACAGACAGAGGAAGGCTGAGGATTGATTTGATTGTCCAGCGGGTCAAAATTAATATCAACTCTGCCAAGGGAAGAAAACATTGAACTCTCATTGAAATTATTGCACAAAAAGATGAACAAGCTTTCACTGGATTCTAGTTATCATTTATGACCTTTCTGAAATCGACAGAACCTTTTATAGATTAGGAACACTCAACAATGAGTAATTTAGGGTTTTTTCATTAAAAAATAGTGCTGTTTTTGTGATTATAGTTCAATTTATTGCTAATCTAACTCATCATGACTTTGAGAACACATCATCAACCCTTCAAACTTTAGACCTTAAATGAGCAAATGCAAACTAACTAAACAAATCAAACCGTTTCTGACCCCACACTAACCCAAGAAAAACTTCCAGGCCTTGTTCACGAGATGTTTATCTCAACATATCCGTGCATGATGTAACAATAGGGGTGGGAATCTTTAGTCACCTCACGATCCGATCCAATTCCAATGCTGGGAGTCACGATCTGATTCCAGAACGATTCTTGATCCCCCCCCCTCCCTTAATAATTAATTCGTTTACCCACTTGAGAATCTTAAAATCCTTACATTTACATATCCTTACATAAGTAATTAAGTACTTTTTAAAATAATTACAAATTGAAAAAAATAATTAAAACAGTTGTATGTTAAGAATTTTAAACTAATATAACTTCAAAACATACAAGCAAGTAGCAAATAATAAAAGAGGAGCATAGAAACATATTACAAACAACAAACAAAGAGTGCTTTCAGTATTTAAGATTATCTGAACGTTTTCCATTCAATAACTGTGAGTGATTTTTCTTCATCTTTACTGTTGTTTTTTACTATGACATCATAGACAGTGGGAGATCTATTAAGCTGCATTCACGCACGGATCTCTTTTGAAATATAAGAAGTAATGTGGTGTGTCCTGTCCGTTTAATCCCTTAAGACAGTGGTTCCCAATCCTGGTCCTGGAGAACCCCCAACACTGCACGTTTTTGGTGTCTCTCTTATCTGACACTCACATTTGAGGTCTTGGAGTCTTCACTAATGAGCTGATGAGTTGAATCAGGTGTGTTTGAATAGGGAGACATCTAAAATGTGCAGTTTTGGGGGTTCTCCAGGACCAGGATTGGGAACCACTGCCTTAAGACATAACTGGCTGCGCTTACATTAATTTTGCGTCATAAAACCATTTTGAGAAGCAAGTGCATTAAACCACTTACACGGAGTCGCGCACAGCCGCATGCGCGAGCAGTCTTCACAAACAAAGCGCACGTCAGCATTTGAAATTGAAACCAGCCTTCTGATAGTGAGGTTCATATTTTAAATATATAAGTCCACTGCATTCCAAACCACATAAATGATGACTTAGTAGAGCATTTGTAAGGAAAATACAGACGTGCGAGACCGCACACTTCAAGTGTAACATCAAACAAAGCGCGCGTCTCTCACAACGCATCCGGTGCAATGAAGCCCGCGAATGTCCTTGTAATTCGCTTCAACCTTTCCGAACTTTATGAAAGATTATTTAACGGAAGGTTCGAGTGGTGTATGTGTGTGAGGAATTGGAAGCAATCAGAATATGGGTGTTTCTAAAGCAAACTCAGCATCATCGCGCATCTGGTTAAAAACTAAGCTCAAAATCGATTCTGAAATTGTCCGATTAGATCCAGAATCGTTGGAGAGAGAATCGCGATGCATCAATGGATCGATTTTTTCTCCCACCCCTATGTAACAAATTCACACTAAACCATAGCAGATTGGGAGATGTTCACAGAAAGCGACCGAAACTAAAGGATATTAGCTTCAACAAATAGCCGTGTTCATTCCGCAACCACAGAGAGATGGAGAATTACTGCAGATCAGATCAAAGCGGCCGTCTTGAGCTTATCTTTTCCTCTGACCACTCAGTACCCTCCACTGTCACACAAATAGAGAGATTATTGTGGGTTCTCGCTCTCTTTCTCTCCTTATTCTTGCCCCAGGTACACAGCAAAGCTATGTTTATCCCATAAGGGTCTTAGGTAAACTTCAGAGAGTTTTTCCATCCCATGAAGGGAAAATAAGAGTGGAAAATCTAAAAGGGAGATCAACAGGCTGTTTTGGGTTGTAGGATTATGTCTATGTGCTTGAGAGGACACTTAGAGCTATTTATTGCCCACTCTCTTAGACCTCCTGCTGTTATGATTTTAATATTTTTGAGTGTGCATCTGTATTCGCTTGCATGACTGCATGTATATGTGTGTCAGAGTTACTCAAGTACAATGCAAATAATAAACGAACATAAATAACAATACTATGAAATATGTTCACTGCTTCCAACATTTTTGCATTAATCCGGTTATAATAAGCCAAATAATTGCACAAATTTAGCCAGTAAATCAAATTTCCCCTTGAGAGAAATCAGGGAGCACTAAATAATGTGTTTTTTTTTTGTGGTAATTTAATCTAGAGAAATTGTATGAAAACATGTGCTGCTATTCTATTTCAGAGGAATTAAATTATTAACATATGAGGTTATTAACCTTACTTGAACTCTGGAATATTTTCACCATCATCTAATAAAACAAAACATATATAAGAAGCCAAAAGAGGACGTTCTGATTACAACTGACAACATCATTGTTGTCTTGTGATGTGCTCTGGTTATGAAATACACACATTTATTTACAATACATAATTCAATAAAGCTTTTACAGGAATCTCAAATAACAGTCTCATCAAGCCAAAGTATATTTTCCCCTAAACATCCTGCAGAACACATTTAATTTCCAGGTTTAGAGGTCTGAAATGAAGCAATAACAGAAAGCCATCTCTGGCAAATGGGATCTAGGTATTTTATTTAATGTCTTCTACCATAAACGTTATCATCCTCAATTTTGGAACACCTTGCTGGCGGTAATGAGAACAGCGGAGAGTTAGGGACATCTGGAGTCATCTTTTTTAGAAGCAGGAAAGAAAACGGCACACTGCCCTTAAATAATAAGTTGAAGCTAAATATACACTGGTTCACATAGTCCTTGTGAATGCAGTGAGCTGAAATGATTTTTTTACACCGAGTTTTTTTACACTGTAGACAACCAGGTATGCATAACAAAAGCACATGATTTAGCTAACCATACCTGATAATACAAGGTCAGATGTTCTTGTTTACACATTATTTAATTAACAGGTATGATGTATGTGTTTTTGCTCAGGTGTACCAAAACACATGATCAATCATGAACACATGAACAATCAACCAATATCTCCATTATCACTGACTATCTGCAGTGACTTCATTTGAAAGCACTTATTATATTTTAAAGAGGCATAAATAGAAAGAATCAATTTACATTAGAGGTTCCGGATTGATTACATCATAGATGTATCTTCACATCAATTTTCTCTCCATATCATCAGCGTGACCAAAATACAATGAAGAAATGAAAATCCTAATTCATCCTCATGCACTTTAACATTGTCTTGATTGGAGAAGAAATCTACATCTAAGGCTTAAAGCCAATACAATTATCTTAAGAAAATAAGATAGGCCCTTAGATGTCCAAATAAAAGTGCCTTTGTGCACAAGCACAAAACAGCCTGACTGAAAGTATTTAGCAGTCTAGGCAGAAAGCCTGATTAGTTTTTGATGAGGGGCCTGAGGGTGTCCAGTAGTATCTGTCTGGCTAGTGGGATGCTCATTGGGTATGTGTTTAAAACAGTAGTTATGGCTTTTATTTAGGCTGAGGGAAGTTAGCCGTCGATCAGTGTATCAGGCATAAATAGAGCTGGACGATATGGCCAAAAAAATTATCACAATATTTTTTTTCATTTCAGTCGATATCGATGATTATCACTATACATTTCAGATCTTTATTTCTTTAAAGGCAGACTTTTGCTTCTAAGTGAAAGCTGTAGAAACCAGACCATTAATTGTGGTTTTAAACTACTCTTTATGGTCAGAACATGACAAACACTTCACGTTTTTGAATTCTTTACTCTTTTCCAGTCATTTTTCCTTAATAAAATAATTATCTTAATAGAAAAATATATTTCTTCATTTCTGCATGTGCCTGACTTTGATAACACGTATCTTCAGCACACTTTGCAGTGCAAGCTGCAATAATACTAATATTACATTTACAATAATATTACATTATATCTTAGAAATAGACATTTGACAGTAGCTTGACAGTAGTAGTAGCTTGAGTTATGATGCAGATGTAAATTTATGTTCATTATAAAAAACAGTAACATCTGTAAAAATAGTAACAACCAAATTTTTAAATGGTGAAATTTAATTATTTTGACTGTTTTGAGTTTTATTAAAATTAACCACTGGTCTTCCACAGTAGTATACATTTAGATCATGATAGCCACAGTTAAAACCATAGCACCTCAATACCATGGTAAAAATCTAACTATGTACCTATTGGTTTCTTGTATAAAAACAGTAGTCTAATTGCATTTAGTATTAAAGGGGTCATATGATGCGATTTCAAGTTTTCCTTTCTCTTTGGAGTGTTACAAGCTGATTGTGCATAGATAAGATCCCTGAAGTTGCAAAGACTAAAGTCTCAAAACCAAAGAGATATTCTTTATCAAAGTTAAGACTCTGCCACGCCCCCCTAAAACGGCTCATTCTAACACGCCCCCACATATCTACCCCACTATGTGGAAATATTTGCATAATCCCGCCG